TTCATGCAGGATAAATCTTGTCTAATTGTTCCATTATTGCAGAAGCTAAAATTAATTATATTAAATTAAAATCAATTTATATTGTAGCAAAAAATAATTGAATTAAAAACTTTAAAAATAATTCTTTAAAAGGTTTGCTTATGAATTGTCTAGTTATTTATGTACATTAAAAATGTCAGACTTTCAGATAGAAAAAATGAAGGGGTCAATGCAAGAATTCTTGCACCTAAGTGCCTAAGTCGCATTTTCAATTAAATTTACATTGTGGCTTCATCTAAGAGTGTTTCACGTAAGGTTTCAGGTGGTGTTTTCAAAGTGGTAGAAATATGTGCCCAAGTGCCTTAGTTCGCATTTACTTCAATGGGAGTTTGCCTGGTTTTCAACTTATGTGAAAACTCTTGCATGAAGCCACAATAACAATTTAATTGAAAATGTGACTTAGACACTTCTTGCATTGACCCCTTCAAATAAAATAACTATAAAAATACTGTAAAAGATTATCACCCTGTAGTTCAAAATGCTATATGCTATGTAAAGAAAACATGGAAAGCACAAAACATTTGTAATATCAAGTTTTGAACTGTATGCTTACAAGTGTTTAATATGACCTCTTCCAGCTGCAAACATCTTGTAGATACTCGGTAGTTCCAATTCGTGTATTTAGCTTTTACAAATCTTGGGGCTCATAAACGTTATCTTTTATAAAGCCCCAGAGAAAGAAGTCGCACACTGTGATATTGGTTGAACGTGTTGACCATACATGAAGTGCTAAATTGTTGGGCCCTTTACGTCCGATCCACCGATGAGGGGGCTGTTCGTTCAATAACCTCTGCTCCACCAAATGCCAATGTAGTGGGGCCCTGGACCCAGGTCCAGTTTTCGCGTCGCTACATCAAATAATTTTAACAAAAACATACATTTTGACAAAGATTATAGGTAAATTTAACATTTTGTATAACAGCAACTAGTGTCGAGAAAAAAAACGTTAAAAACTGTTTTGATTGAAAGTTTTGAATCAAAACGCTTTAAAACTAGGTATTTAAATTCTATCAAAACTTGCATTAGTTAAACAACCCATAAGCAAAGAGTAAGAGTCTTTACTCTTTGCCATAGGTTTCATTACATAAAAAGAATTTTATTAACTACATGTTTTCGGTAAACATAGAGAAAAAAACCGATACGGTTTATCACACGTATTTTCTTATTTTAAACGCGGTAACGTTACGATGCTACAACTAACTCAAACTTGACTAAAAACACCTAATAAAATGTTAAAGCCGAAATTAACAAGTTTACTTACCTAAAACAAAGAAAATTTGGATTATAAAACTTCGTACACACCACTTCAACAACGCTGTCGGCCATTTGTAATTTCTCAAACCGAACATCAACGAACAAGTTGGAAAAGACCAATCACAACAAAGTAAGAATCACGTGGTTAATAACTGGGGTTTGTCAAAAACAACTTGGGTTTCAACGCATGCTAGATTTATTTTACTGTTGCCTGTTGTCAAATTCCCCTTATACTACTGTGGAACACACCTTAAACAAACAGATATCTCATCTTATATACACCTAATCGTAAGCTAACTAAGGCGAGATGTAAGAAAACGTCATTGTCTAATGACGTGGCGTGAGTGTTCGAAGCGCCATTCTCGGCAATTTTATGAATGCAAATTTTACATTTTAAATTTTAAAGTAACATTTTAAATTTGTTAAATGAACAAATTTAAAGTTTTGGATTAAAGAGCAACTAAACGTTAATTTAATAGTTTTTTTAGGTAATCCTAAAAATTTCAGTAGTTGATTCAACAAATTCCAGCTATTAAATCAAAGTACGATAAACATTTTAATTCAAAATATTAGTTTATGTTAAATTAATATTTAAACTGTCAAATGAACAAATAAACTTTGACAAACTCTGACTTTTGCTTTAACACCAAAATATAGATTAATCCAATAGGTTTTTTGTTGAAACAACATTTTTAAAAATGACATTTAGGCAAATGTTAACTCAACTACATTATTTTTTTCGGTGTGCTTCATAGGGATGAGAAAGTAGGTGTTTCTACGGCTCGTCTTGCAAAACACCCACAAATGGCTAGGCAGGAAAAATATACCATTACATCGATAGCAACGGACATACATGTCAATGACTTTTTTGTAATTTTAATATTTTTTTTAAGAATAAACCACTAAAAATACAATTTTGTCTTCAGTTGTTTTCGTATAAAACCTCGTTATATAGATAAAAATTAAAACAATATTATTGCCTAAAAATTGACAAAACGCATAATTTGCACCTTTTCCAGTTAATAAAAAACTACGTACTTCCAATTATTTGTTGATAAATTAAGTTTCAAAGTTTAACAAAATCGGTCAAATTATATTAAGGATAATTATAAAAAGACGTATCTTGAAAATTAAGCATTTTCGGACCTATGTTTATATAATTTTTTTCTTATTTTTTGATGACAAATCACTGGTGCATGCTTTTGAAACACCCTGTATATATATTATATTGAAAATAAAATTAATGCTCAATATTTCATCTCCAATTAAATAATTTTTATTAAAAACAAACATTTATTATAACCTAATTCTTAACTTTAAAAATCATAATAGTCGCCCTCCTGTATAAAAAATCTGACATCTGAAACCTGATTGGTTCAAATAACAGTGAATATTGAAATCAGCCAATCAATAATGCCTAACAATGTTCATTATTCCCGTTGTTAGGCAGGGCGGGTACCATTATTTACGGAAGAAACCAAATATTGTCAATAGTATGCAATTGGAGTAGAAAAATTAATTTATAACAAGTAATTTAAATGTTGTTACTTATTTTCCAAAAATATTTTTTTTGACACGTGGTATAATGTATGGTCACGATGTTTTTTGTATAAATCCGGAAATGAATATTTTGTTAAAATTAACAAATTTGTCACAAACGCACAAAGACGAAAGATTAGGATCAATTAAGTTTTAATTAAAGGTCTGAGCTTCAGTTTCCCCCTTATGAATATTACATCCCCCATCGTCCCAATTAAATGTTTATCGATAATAGTGTGGTCTGGGAATAATACTGGATGTTTCACTACCCCAATTAGATTGTAAATCCCATAACCAAAACCGTTTTAAAAATATATTACGGTTGGTTGTTTGTTGCTACTCTCTCCGGGTTTCCAAGTTTGTTTATTCCTGTAGTATAAACGCATTGATTTCTACTTATTTACAGAAAAACAATGTTTTAATTAAGGTAGTATTTTATTATCAAACTTATGAGGAGTCCAAATTGCATTATTTTCAGGAAACACGAAATGATGTGAAGTAGCTGATATAGTTGGAGCAGAATTTATGATGCCAGTAAATTTGGATAAAGAATTACTCTTATAATAACTCAACCTTAAAATATTTATCCCTTAAGAATTTCAAAAATCTTAAAAAAGATGGACCCTAAATCATTTAGGCTAAATGCACCTTGATCGTCTACAGTGGCCAAATCAGTTGGTTTAAAAATAACAGAGACTTCTGGAAAAAATAAAAAATTTTAATAAGTAAAACTTTATTAAAAAGTTTTAATTAAAATTCGTTTTGTCAAAGGTGTCAAAGCCGCTTTCAAATTGTAAAAAGCTGCCCACTTTACCCCCAATTTACGTACTTACACTGTTTAAAATATCTGTGGTGTAAAAAATAATCTTAAAATTGTGTCTAAATCCAACACCAAGTGGTGTTAATATAAACACCATGAATTATAGTGAATATATTAAAATATTTGAGAAGTGCACCTACACAGAAAAAAGAAATAGTTAATTTAACTATATTAATTTAGTTGACCCCTAAGTATTAATTTAAATCGACTGTGGGAAGGTTAATATTTATATATATTTATATATATATTTATAAACAAATATTAGTTTGACAGTACTAAACCAGATATTTATTTTATTTTTTTAAATTGGTTAAATTAACCCAGAAAACTTTAGTGAAACCAACCCCGCTTTATGGTTCAGTTTACGAAATATGTTGTTTGTTAAATAAAAGTTACTTCAACCTAAAGCACTCTGTTAAAACGATTAAAACAATTTGCCGTGCATTCCTAGTTGCATAGTATGTACCGATCGCGGCAAAGGAGGTGTGGATCACATGTTCATAAATCTCGCCTCTGTTGACTTAAATGAAGAGTATATAAGCTCAGGTATACCAACTTGTAGTGTCACACCAAAGCAAAGTACTATAGTACTTTGCTTTGGTGTGACACTACAAGTTGTTCGATACTAAAGGGACCTTAAATAGGTGGAAACAGCTGTCAATACTTGAAGTATAGTTGGTGGAACGCACTAAAAACACCATCTCTAGCGAGTTGAAGAATGAATTTTCTAGAATAATACCACTGGTCATATACTAGTAATGCGTCAAGGAACTTCCTGTTTCCTTTTTTTCTGTTTAGTATGATTTAATTTGACCAAAAACACATAATATTTAACTCAAACTTAAAAGGAGTTCAATTTACACCAGGTAAAATTTATTTTAATACTGTGTGAAAGTTAAATTTACACTATTTTAGTATTTAAATTTACACTGGACCAACGAACCATATTTAACACCATTTTGGTTTGTATCGATATAGACCATGTATGATGTTAATTTGGTGTTAAAATGGTCTTGATATTTTGAACAGTGTACTTCTACAATTTTAAAGTAAAGCTTCCAGTACTTCTCATGTGATTTTATTGTACTGTGTTATCTGATAGTGTATGTGTATAGGACTTTTGCAAAAGATTTACAAAGGATTAGACCCGTTTAGAATGTGCAAGGTGCTGTTAAAAATTGAGCCTTGGTTTCAAGAACAAAAACCTTTATATTTCTCAAAAAATTTTTGGATAAAAAGCTTTTTAAAAGTCTGCTCCTCATATATTTAATCGTAAAAATAATAATTAAAAAACTGTTTTTATGTTTTCCCGTTAACGAAAAAAATGCAAATTTTTATTTTGTTTTAGTTGCTCCAGTGATAAAGGTCCCAAACCAGCTCCTTGGAGCACCCCTTAACACGGATGTCCAACTGGAATGCTACGTGGAAGCTTTTCCGAACACGATTAACTATTGGGTAAAAAATAGAGGCGAAATGCTTTTAAACGGGTAAGTAGATTTAGTTTTAAGAATTTAATAGGTAAATAATAATTTGTAAAATAATTTGTTCGTGCTTTAATAAAAATGATAATTTTCATTATTAATCCCTATTGGTGAATCACGTAATTTACTTTGCACAGCATTAGTACAAAATATAGCAGCACTTAATGCTGCTAATTGTAAGTAATTTAAAATAATTTTTGAGGAGGATACAATTAAAAGTTATGTCTGTTGTCACGATATATACTAATTAAAAACGAATTAGTGTATATTTCATTTAACGACACTTAAAAAATATAGTTATTAATAAATTAAAAACATTTATTCAGGGTTTCCTGAAAATGGTGCTATGCCACGTTGTATGAGATATATGCAGTAAATGTAAATATTTATGTTAAAAAAATCTTTGAATAGCCATAAATTCCATGGCAAAGTAGTATTAGACACGTAGAAAATCCTCAAGAGTTTTTAATGAAAGCCTCGCGGGAAATTTTACGTAGAAAAGCATCCGAATTAAAAATGTTTTTTGCGTTTCAATCGTAAATAAATTTTCAAACAAACATAGGTAATGGAATTCATCCTATGCAATCTACATAAAAGTCTAGTTTTAAATTAAGTTAACTAAAGAATTCTATTAAATTACAGGTCCCACATTCTTGATCCAATTTAATTACTCCTACTTTGTCTAGGAGGAAAAAGAATACGGAGAGTTTTAATTAAGATAAGGTTACATTTTAATTATTTTAGAAGGCCCTTGTCGGTTTATTTAATAGTATATATCTTCAACCGTTCTATAATTTAAACTTTAATATTTTCAAAACTCACTACTAAAGTGATTTATTATAGCCTAGGCTATAAACATAATTTACGCCAAATGGGTAAAGTTTTTTATTTCTTGTTTTGTAAAAACCCAGATCAGATCTACCTAACCTTACTTTAACCATTATTATAATAATACGTTTTATGCATCGTGTAAAAAATATTGTGGCTAGGGCAAAGATTAAATATATTAAAAATTAATAAAGATTAAAGTATATTTAATGTTTGGCTAGGGCATAAAAAGTTATTGTTTTTTGTGCTTCCCTAAATTGTAGGGATCAGCTTCGCGTATGCATTTGAACTTTGAGCTCAGTATAAAAAAATTCACTTCTCACCCTAATGACATAAATAACTGTTATTTGGAAACACCCCCTACTTATATTGATTTTCTAAAAAAGCATTGTCTATATGTGATCATTTTTTTTCAAACAAGGTTATTTCTTACTTTTTGACTCTTCTTAAGGTACTCCTAAAGTTTCATATTTTTCACTTATTTTAAACCTAAGCCCCGACCACTTAAAAAAAACAGAATCAGTAAAAGGTAAGAAAAAAAATATTTTTTTTCAAACAAGGTTATTTTATTACTTTTTTACTCTTCTGAAGGTTCTCCCAAAGCGTCAGATTTTTAAATTAATTTAAAAAGGAAACAGAAAAAATCAGAAAAAGGTAATTACTTTTTTTCAAACAATGTTTTTTTACTTTTTTACTCTTCTGAATGTTTTTTCTTACTTTTTGACTCTTTGGTCTCCCAAAGTTTCAGATTTTTTAACCTTAAAATAAACAGAAAGAATCAGAAGAAGGTAAAAAAACATATTTTTTTTTTAAGTTTTTTCTTACTTTTTGACTCTTCTTTTATATCTAAAAATTTCAAAAATTAGCAAATTTTCATTGGTTCATCCGATGGACTTCATCGTTCAGTGTTGAAATGCACAAAATATGTTTACAATACCTAAATAATTAAAACACACTTACTATATTGATTAAAATCAAATTTGAATACTAGAAAAAAGTTATAGCTCAATAAAAAGGGATATGAAAAAGGAACAATTTTAAATTTCAAATTTCCATATCTCGAAAGTAAAAAATACAAAAATTTAAAAATGGGTCGGTTTTTTATATTTGACACCTAAAAGAACATCAAAATCTAAAACCATGCATTACACCGATTGGATGTTTTCGTATGGATTACTCAAAACCTTTTCGTGTAAAAAAGTGGTCGGGGCTCAGGTTAAAAATTAATTAGGATAAAAATCTAAAACTTTGGAAGTACCTTCAGAATGGTAAAAAAGTAAGGAAAAACCTTGTTTAAAAAAATATGTTTTTTTCTTACTTTTTTCTGGTTTTTTTTTTATAAAGTGGTCGGGGCTCAGGTTAAAAATTTTCAATTATTCAAATCCAATACAAATTCCATCACTCTTAAAAAAAGATTTAAAACATACGAAATCTTCATTTAAGTAGGTATTAACTCAAAATAAAAACACAAACAAGCCATCGGCTCTCATCGTGTGAACCGCTCTAATTGTTTGGTAATTGGAGGAAATTAACGTAAGATAGAATGAAATGTTTTAACAGCAAGTTAACCACTTTGGAAGCTAAACAGTAAGTTTTTTCCAATACATATGACTTGGTGTTCTATGATCTTATCTGATTATCCAGTTGGATATTTAGTGCGTAAAAAAATGGATCTGAACGATAGGAACTGTATTCAGAGGTTTGCAAAAATACTATTATTTTCAAGTAGAGCAAACAGTAAACAACAAAAACTGATCTAAATTGTACATTGAAGTAGTGGCGGCTGGTTATTAGACATGGGATCCACACTAAATTTATAATAAACTGCGCACCACTCAATGTGTCGCGACCAAAAATTTCGTCCTTTTTCAAAACGACATAACTTTTTTGTTTCTTGAACGATTTTATGTTGGTTTGTGATGTCTGCTAGCCCCATTATCTGGCAATTCATGCTGTAGATATGAAGCTCACGGTTTTTCAAGTAAATTTACTACAGGGTGATATGTAAAACAGTGAAAAATTTGAATAACTTCATCCAAGCCCCGTTTGTAAAATAAATATTTTTTTCTCGTTTTTACTTTGAAATAATGAAGTATTATGTCTTACCTTGAAACGTTTTTTAAATTTTTTGAATTGGAATCTTAGCAACAAAAATATGATTTTTTTTTTCAATGGAGTACATTTGATGCTTTTTTGTAGGCAATACACTCAGCCTTTTTAAAAACAAAAAGATAAGATGGTGAATGATTGTTCCTTGAATAATTCTGAACAAGCGACAAGCAACAAACTTCCATTATTTTCAGAGGAACCTAAGCAAAGACCACTTGTTCAAAATTGCATTTTGGTGAAAATTTTCGAAAACTAAACCTGAACCGATATTTACGTTTGTGACATGTTTGCTTTATAATTTTGACCTCCTGATGTGATTCAGTTGTCAAATTTAGGTTTTAGATAAAACTAAAATCACCAACAATCAAAATTCGAAAACAGCTGTTAAATGTCTCAATAAAATCTGATTGCTGGATTGTACTGTTTTTTTACTGTGTTTGCATCTTTAGTACATTATTATCATGTCACTGAATGATCAAATCAAGGATCAAATGATGAAAATTAAATTTGGTGTTGGTGGACGACAATGCCCGTCCGCATCGCGCTAATATCGTAAATGAGTATTTAAGGGACCATGATATTGAGAGAATTAATTGGCCACCTTTGTCTCCGGATATGAATCCTATTGAGCATGTGTGGAGCAGGATGAAACTGAAGATGAAAGAGAGGAAAGGCTCATGGAAAGATTGGATGAATTGGTAAATTCGATTCAGGAAGAATGGGAAGCCATACCCCAGGAATTTCTAAGAAACTTGGTCTAGGGAATGCCCAGGAGGGTTAACGAATTATTACGGGTTAGGGGAGGGCCAACGAAAGTTATTATTGTTATTGTTTGTTACATTTTTCTGTTGAATGTTGTAGTTTTTATTATGATTATATCTTCGCATAAAATTTTCAAAAATGAACAAACAAATTTTTTAACTTTATTACCAATTAGGTAGGTTCTTATCAGTAATAATCACTAGTATCAGTAATAATCACTAGTACGCAATATAAATGTAATTTATGTAACATTTTCCTAACCATTTAAACAAATTGCAGTAATTTCTCCCAAAAAATGAATCCCAAATGGCATTGGCAAAGGCATGTTATTGAGACATTTAACAGCCGGGAATTGTTTTCGAATTTTGATTCTTGGTGATTTTGGTTTTATCTAAAACTTAAATTTGACAACTGAATCACATCAGGAGGTCAAAATTATAAAGCAAACATGTCACAAACGTAAATATCGGTTCAGGTTTAGTTTTCGCAAATTTTCTCCAAAATGTTATTTTGAAAAAGTGGTCTTTACTTAGGTCCCTCTGAAATTAATGGAAGTTTGTTGCTTGTCGCTTGGTCAGAATTATTCAAGGAACAATCTTTCACCATCTTATCTTTTTTATCTTAAAAAGGCTGAGTGTATTGCCTATAAAAAAGCATTAAATGTACCCTTCTGAAAAAAAAATCATATTTTTGTTGCTAAGATTCCAATTCAAAAAATTTGAAAAAAGTTTCAAGGTAAGACATAATACTTTATTATTTCAAAGTAAAAACAAGAAAAAAATATTTTTTTTACAAACGGGGCTTGGATGAAGTTATTGAAATTTTTCACCTTTTTACATATCACACTGTAGGAAATTTTATTGAAGAACCGTGAGCTTTATATCTATAGCATGAATTTCCAAAGAATGGGGCTAGCAGACATCACAAACCAAAATAAAATCGTTCAGGAAACAAAAAAGTTATGTCGTTTTGAAAAAGGACGAAATTTTTGGTGGCGACACATTGACTGGTGCGCAGTTTAGTTTAAAATGACATTAAATAAACAAGTTCGGCGCAAACAGAATTTAAATTAAAGCTTGCGAAAAAAAGTTAGTTTTTCCTGTCGCCTCACACGCCTCCAGGCCCTCCTATTTGAGATAATTCAAATTAAAGTGGTGCAATTTATTATCTACTATAATTTATCGACACATTTAAAATTTTATTTAAAAAATCCAAATAGGTATTACAGATTTTATTCGATTTTAAATTTTTACTATTTATTTTATTAAAATAAAAAAGTATTCAAAATGGTATAAAACCTGTAATAT